GAAAGGGTTTTGGGATTTACTGCCTGGTTGTTTGGGTTTAGTATTAGGATTGGTGTTTGGGGTAGTTGGGCTACTGAAAGGATTTCTAGTTGGTTTTCCCTTGCCATCCAATTTGTCTTTTATTCCTTGGATGAAGTCGTTAATATGCCTATCAGGATTAAAATTATTACCTAGATTTGCCAACTTTAACTGTGCTTTCTTTTCTAAAAGTTTCTTTCATTCTTTTTTTGCTTCATCAGCAAGAAATATGAATTTTCTCTTTTTGTCAGGGTCAGACTCATTGGCTGCTTTTCGCTCATTCTCTTCTATTTCCTGTTTTAATTCTCCTTCTTTTTGTTCTATTAGAGCCAATTCTTGGGCTTCTTCGTATTGAGAATTTTCTATATCTCTTTTTAAACTCTCTACATCTTTGCGAAAATCATCTATTATTGAGTCAAGGAATTCGGCAAAGTCATCTCAAATAATACAGACGCCACCCACCGAAGTATTACCTCCTGTTTTCATATTTAATCCGCTAATTGCTTGGTTAGTTTTATTAAGTAGAGTTTGCTTATTACTCTCAAATTCCTCTCGGCTATTGAAGTTTATTAAATCCTTTTGAGCATTTCTTAATCCTGAAATATCTTCAAAGAATTTAGCAAGAGTCTGACAGTCCTCTCTTGAATTATGGGCTCCTCCGTATTCACAGCGACCACCACTTCAATAACCGCCATCACCTTGAATGTTTTCACCGGCTCGCACTCATGCTTTTCTGGTAAATATTTCTTCTATTTCTTGTGCTTTATTATATGTCATATTCTTTTACTCGGCAATTATTTCTTTAAAAGGCAAACAGCTCACTACTAAACTACTGATTTTGCTTCAATATTTTACCTGTTTTTTTTTATATTCTAGATAGTTAGAGTTCATGTTTTTTTAAAAAAAGGGTGTATAAGGGTAAATAAAACTAATAGGGAAGAAGGAAAATTAGTAGATAGGGAAAGAGAGTTAAGGAGAGGCAAAAAAAAGCAAATACACTAATCTTGGGGATGACAATTCCTAATCCAAAGATGATTATTAGTTCCATCTTTAAATCAAAAAATTAGTCTATATCTTTTGTCATCATAAGTCATTCTATTCCTCACAAAGACTTCTCGGTCGCTAGGTTTTTTCTTAGGTTCGGGTTCTGCTTCACGACCATCTAAGGTTTTCACTAATTTCATGATTAATTCATGAGTAATCATTTTCCGTCCGGGTTTAGTCTGATAATAATCAGTGATAGTTATTTTGACTATTCTTTGCTCATTAAAAACTAGATGACAGTCATGTTCGCAAATTTTCTCTTTTGAATTAGGAGATTTAGGCATAAATAGCACTTCTTTTTCTTAGTTTTGGCTCTTTGATAGTTATTTCTAGTTGGGCAGGGGCAAATAACTTATCAGTATAGGAGAGTAAACGGTCAAGAGTAAGATAGTCAATTCGACAATAAAGAATATCCTCCATTTCGGCTTTGCTTAGTTGGACTTTTTGGGCTAATTTTTCGGTAGTAAGTTGCTTATGCCGTTTATATCTAATTACTTTTTCGCACAATTCGTATTTAGTTTTTTCAGAAGTAGTAGCATTCTCCGACAAAGCCCAAGAACCTCCCTGATAATTAGGGTCTTCTATCCGCTCTAAATACTTCTTAAAGTCTTTTTTACTACTTTTAGTTAGTTTTTTATTATTTACTTTTTTTGTCATAATGTTATATAATAAAGTTTTAATTTAATTCTTCGATATTTGGTCCATTTTTACAATGCTGACAATAATCACAGTAAGGTTGTATAACAATTTCGGTTTTCCCCTTTTTATCCGGACTAAACTTTTGCACTGCTAATTCTAATTCTTCTCAATCTACAGTTGGTCTTAAACTTCTATATCCCAAACTTTTTAAAATATTACCTAATCTTAATTGGTAATCAGGACCAAAAAGATTATTCTTTTTAATTATTTGTTTAAGTTCACTTCAAACTTCTAATACTTCATTGTTTTTTTTTTGCTATCCATATTAATTATTTCCTCAGTTTGGCAATTTCTTGAAATACTTGCTCCTCAGTTATGGTTTGGTCAATGATAATGCGAGAGTTAGGTTTTGATTTTTTTATAAGAAGTCCGTATATTCTCTGAAGAAGCAACTGGTCGGCAGTGTGTTCATCCCGAGAACTGCGATAACTTTCTATTTGGATATTTTTTTGCTTGATTTTTTCTTCATAGCGATTGATTATTGACTCTTGATTAGTTCTTAATGAATCTAGTGTACTCATAATATCTCATGCTTTTGTTTTAAAATTCTCTCAATTTTTTAAAACTTCTTCTCGTAACATACTACTTGCTTAATTCCTCCCCCAACTCCTTCATCTCTTTTAATAATTTCTCTAAAACTTTCTCATTCTCAGAGTTCTCTTTACTTTGAAGTTCTAACTTCCTATTACTCTCATTCAATTTAGTATTGGTTTCAGTAATAGTTTACTGGTTAGTTTGTAATTTAGTAGTTATTTTGGTTTTTAGCGTGGTAAACTCGGTTGTTAATTGGGTTAATTTCTCTTTGAGGGTCATATTTATTTAATTTGGTTATTGAGGTCTTGGATGGATTGGAGGAGATTGTCGAGAGTGGTTTCTAATTCAGGGTCAGGGTCAGTTTGAGTGGAATGGGAATGTTTAATAGACTTCTTTTCTTTGTCTGCTAATGCTTGCTTATATTCTTGAATTAATTCTCGAGCATTTTTATTATACTCTTTTTCACTTTTTAGTGCTTTTACTCCTTTTTCTAACTCGTGCTTGATTTTATTTTTTAGTAGGGATAAATTTCAAGACTTATTAGTATCTATTCCTAATTCCTGGGCTCAAGTAGCGACTTGATTTCATTGCTGAGTTAGTAAAGAAATTTGTTTATCGGAGAGATTAGTTTGAGTGCTAATGGATTGAGTTAAAGGCTTAGATTTAGGAGAGGGAAGGGAAGATTTCTTTTGTGAGGGTAAATAATAGTAAAAGTAATAGAGGAGTGCTATTATTAGGACGGCAAATAAGAGGTTGTTCATAATTGTTATTCGTGATAATGTTGTCTTTGAGGGTTTTTATTTAATAATCAGACTGATAAAGCATAAAGACCAAAGAGTAAAATAACTGGTCCATAATCAGTTCATCAGTTAGAATTAGGTTCTTTATTAGGTTCATTTATTCTTAATTCGGCTGCTCGTTGATAATTATTTACTTGGCTAGTTAAGTCTTGATTTTGATTTTGGACTTCGGTTAGTTTAGTTTTTAATTGTTTATTCTGGCCTTCTAATTTATTAATTTCTTCCGTGGCATCTTTAACAGTCTGTTCTAATTCTTTTTCTAGTTCGGCAATACGAGGATTGGGTTTTTCTTTTAAGTTTTCTACTCTGTTTTGGGCTAAACTAGTTCAGTCTTGATTGGCTTGTTCTAACTGTTTTTTTAACTTTTCATTCTCTTGCTGTAATTGCTGAATATTGGGCTGGGTAGGTAAAGGAGGTGCTTTGGGAATATCCCCTAAACTTTTGCTTCTTTTTAACTTTTTTTTTAGGTCAGAAGGTTTTACTCCCTCTTTTACTTCTTCTAAGAGTTCTTGTTGGAGTTTTTGTTTAGTCATGATTAATTATGGGTTCTTCAAAAATAGGGTTCTTTCTCATCTCCTCAATTAATTCTCTTATTCGGTTGGGTTCACTAAATCTAGTTCATTCCCCTATGGCTATTCTTAATTGTCAAAATAGTTTCCGGCTTTGACCAATGGCTTGATTTTGGTGGTTTAGTAATTCAAAACAGTCTAAAAAAGCCGTGGCGGCAGAAGTAATGTTATTGACTAAGTTAGGAGGGAAGTGAGGAGTAGCGGTTGAAGGTGTTTTCGCTAATTCAGTTAATATTTCTTTATTACGATTAAGGGTTTGTTCATCAGTTCCAATTTGGGGACCTCACAGTTCATTTAATAATGCTAAAA